ATGCCTCCCTCTATCTTACGGGCCTTGGGTACCGTTCGTGCTAAATAGAAGGACCAGGCGTGGGTCTTAACAGGGTCCCCAGCTCGTCGTCAGACAAATAAGATTTGTGCAAAAAGAGTTAACACAAAACGATGACTAACAAACGATTAGAAGATAGGAAGATAATCGTCACCCGCATTTAATTATGCAGTCAGCGGAGAAAATAGCTGTCACCCGCCTGTCACTATGCGGTCGGTGGTGGCTGCTTTTGCTTCTATCTGATCTCGAGAAATTTGCAGTTGATAAGTTGCGAAACCAGACTCGAAAATTCACACACCAAAGATTATTATTTCCCAAAGGACTTTATCGTTAATAAAATATATAGCTTGGGATGCCGATATTTCAACAGATATTAACATGCCCTAGATCAATTAAAAAGTTTTCTATAACAACTTACTTCTTGAAAAACGTAAAATATCTGCATCAAGTTAAAAAATCACAAAAATTGAACGGTTTTTTGAATTTCCTGAGAATAAGGGATACATTTTCTACTGAAAGTGAAATAACCACATTTTCTGTGCATACTTTAGCGGTTTTTAGTTTATATCTTTACTTTTAGGCCCCGGTTTAAGATTGCAGAGGAACACCAGAGTGTCACAATAGATACGACGATTATGCCAAAACTGAGAATCTTCTACCCGTTCCTTTTCAAGCGCTCCTAATCGTTCATACTGAACTAGAGATTAAAAGTGTTTGGACATATTTTGCATACGGCTGGAAAGAGAAAAATGACGGCATGTCTCGAATGATCATCTATAGGCTTGTTTACCGTCCTTATTTTCGGGGTGGTGAAACAACTTACAGCCTTATAAGTGTTTAACTAAATTTTGTGGCACTAGACGTGGCAGATTTATGAAAGAGGACTTTATTAATTCAGTCCGTTCTCCATTTCCTGAAGACAACGCGTTATCCCATAATTGCACTTACCTCAAGTTCATGAAATCAAAACGAAATTATTACCGGTCTCTAGAAGGTTATACTTAAAACGTTTGTGGTTTTTATTAATATTCTCTTATAGTTCAATTCGCACAGGCAACAAGTTTTGGGTTTTAACATTTAATAGCCTCTAAGATTCCTTGGATATCGACTAACTTTGGATTTGCACAAATTCTGTGCCAATTTCCCTTCAACATATTGACCAGAACAGAACGCTTTTCTGGTAAACAGTATTTTGCGCCTCAGGTAAATTCAATGAATCAAATAAACAAACTCAAATGCGTGGGTTGAACCATCCACTTAAATTGCGATCTCCAAATTTCATCAGTTAGGTAATCAACCGTAGACTTGCTACATTTTTTGTCTGCTCGCGGCAAATCAAAAGCCATTAAAAGCCTCATGTACGAAAAGATAGACACTTCAGCGGCCTTGTAAGGTAGTGTTGGGTCTGCTCAATAATTTTGGAGCAATATGACTCCTGTGTCTGGTATGCAAAAGGTCATAACAGCGCTTGCCAAACCTCTTTATGACGATGCTGCTAGGTCAAGTAATGGGCAGCATTTAATTGGCGAGTTGAATAAACGCGAAAGCTTAAAATGCACAATTGCGTCTGCATTCTAAACCGTAAAAACGATAAAACATATATGCAGAACCGAATTAGAACATGACCGCATTGATTAAAGGATGTAAAGTTGATCTCGGCAAAAATGTTAGGCGTACATGAGGGAAGATTCAGGGTAGAGTATTACTCTTTAAGACACCGAGGTTCATAAAATAGTTGAGCAAATGCATGCTCGGTGGTGATGGCTTGTGGATGAGAGATACAACGGAGACCAGCCACACGATAATACACTCAGTTTGAAGGAGAATGCCTGTTATTTACTTCCGTTCACATTGCACAGAATTCACATTTTTGTTTAAAAATAATGCTCG